TATTCTCCCTTTTGCTGCTAATTCCTTGGTAACGTTTTCTCTTGTTACAGCTCAAGTGATCCCAATTAGGAATCACGTTGATCATTTCACCAGGCTTCACAGCCAATTATATTTGATATCACTTGGAGCAAATGAAGTTTGTTGGAAGTGAGGATGTTCCCTAGACAGATTACATGAACATTCATGACCAGCCAGGGATTTTTTAAAACATGACTCAAGAAGGTCAATGCAAACACAGAATATCTGAAAAGGAATTATTTTGTGTTTATCAAAGATTTTGAAAATGGTCTGTGCATGTGTGTTTTTCCAGGTAGGGGACAGAAAATTTAGAAATAAGAGCTAACCAACTGCATCTGCAACAAAATGATACAGGTATTGTATTCAGGGATACAATAATCTGTTGGGAGCTTGAACTATACCATTTCACTCTACCCCACCCCAGATTGATCAACCTAGCTACCTACTTTCCTTCCTTCCTTCCTCAACCAATAACTGAACAGTCAGTGTCACCTGTAGCCTGCTGAACATGCTCACTTGGCTCATTTTAAGGATGCCTTCAGGTGTATTGCTGGAGATTTGAATGAAAGACTGATTTTCTGCACACCTGAACAGAATGATACCTCCCTTGTTTCTCAGTGGCCACATTCAACCATTTTTGAAGCTACAGTACATATTAGGAAAAAGCCCTGATGCAACAGTTGCAATTGCATGTGAAGTCCACGTGCAAAGATGTGCATCAGCTCTACATCCCATCAATGTTGTTTTTGCCTTCTCCTTATAGTGTAAATAATCTATAGAAGGCTCTCACCTGCTTCGTCCATGGCTGCTGTCCCTTAGAAGCCTGACTCCCCCTCCTCAGAAAATACACGGAGTTTCCCCCTTGAACAAAGTGACCCTTCATATGTAAAGGTTGATAAGACAAGCAGTGGAGGAGACTGAACTATTTGTGGATTATTTTATTTTAGTTGTCATATTTATAGGCCACCTTTCTCCTAGTAAGTAAACTCAAGTTTAGTGCATTTTTCCTCATTCTACTTCCTTATATGTCAGGTCTACATATGTATGCATAGAGATAGAGTGCTAAACAACATGTGTCCAACTGCCCCATGAGCTTGTCAGGAACAGTGTGTTCAAGAACTTGTAGTTAATTACAATTACAGTGTGACTTCTCACTCTAATTAAAAGGTAAACTATGTTTTTAAAATGCAAACATAACATCTCCTGTTTGAAACTATTTATAATACAGTACTGTATTTTGCTTCTGTTTATACACATTGCTTTTATAATATACTGTATAGGGTACAGTATATACAGTATAATATACTGTATAGGGTATCTTAAGTCCATACAGACTTAAGATACCTGTATAGGGTATCTTAAGTCCTTACAGTATACTAAGACTCATCCTGAATAGTCTCTGTCCAAGTATCTGTTCCACATCACTATAGTGATAAAAGCCTAATATTTATACTTGGCATTTCCTTCTTTCTAATTAGGATTTGTGATTGCTTTATTGTTCACTTTAATTCTATACAGTATTCACTGTAAATCAGGACATATTCTTACAAATTAAGACTACCTTTGAATAAGTAAGATCTAATTAAACTTATATGTATAAGCTAAGTTCCTGGAAGTCATATTATGCCCTCTGGATCTTCATCAAAAATGTCAGGCAACTACATCCCATGAGGACAGCTACAAGCCTCTGCAAAATTATTTTTTTCTAACGTGGAGGTTTGACTTGCAGATATGATAAAAGCTAGAGTCACTGATCAGTGACTTCCAGCCAGTGTTCAGCTGTTATTTATTGTTTTTATCTACAATATTTTAGGCTTCTTAGAGCTTTGACCCTTGTTATTCAACTAGCAAAGTAAAAACACAAAAAGCCAACCCACCCACCTCCATCATGATAACAAAGACCTAAATCTAATTAGCAGTCCTACCTGGAGTAATGGTTCTGAATCAATTACTAAATGATTATTCTGGGATAAATTGGATTTACCATTTTGTAAATCCCATTTATTTAACGTGTCTACTTGTGTTGGGGCTATCAATTATATTCAGGCCACAGTGGTGATGAGTAAAACAGCAATTCAGCCCCAAAACATACAATAATTCAATAATTAATGACAGTTAAAATTATAAGCAATAAACATAAGAGAGTTGCATGAAGAAACAAATCAATCTTTAAGGCTTTTCTGAAAGCCTTGAACGATGAGGGTTGGATTCAATGGCCTTACAAGCCCCTAAAGATGAGGGTTGGATTCAATAGCCTTACAAGCCCCTTCCAATTTAATTATTATTCTATGATTCTGTGGGGCTTGATGTGCCCCAACTAGTAATACATTACACAAATAGAGGGTCACTGCAAAAAAAAGGACTTTTTCTTTGTGCCTGTCCACCAGGTAGCTGAAGACAAGCATGTAGGAAGGGCCTGTGCTGCAGCCATTAAAGTACAGGCAGATTTATATGTTACAGGTGATTTTGAAAGGTGAAATCCCACACTTTAAACTGGGCTCCAAAACGCACTGACAGCCAGTGCAATTGGCAGGCCTTGAATGAACTGGCTCCAGAAGTACATAGACAGACATATTCTACAGAAGATGAAATTTCCAGACTATCTTCAAAAGCTGTCATACCTAGAACCGGTTGCCATAGTATTGGCTAAATGTCATCCGTGCATGAACTACCAGGGCAAAAGGTGCAGTATTAGGTTTTTCTGGGCAGAACTGCAAGTGGCACACCAACCTAGGGCTATGAACAAGGCTAGAAATCAGAAACCAGACAGCTCCAAGCAAGACTGTTCTAAATTTAGGGATTAGATCTGGTGATCTCTTTTATCAATAAGTTTATCAAATATGCCTACAAGATAACTGCTTCTTTTCCTGGCCAGATGCTGCATAATCCTCAACAAAAAATATAGGAAAATAATCTGTTGGGAATGCACTTTCTCACAAATTTGGCTGTCTTAAATTGACATAGCTTCCTCATAGCACTCTTGTGTTCATTGCACTCTCATTGCTATATTTTTCCCCCTGTATTTTTGATTGCAATACAAAGAAAACACATCTGCAAAAGTATGCCCCATCTTGAAACAGAAGAGCAATCAAAACTGTTCTGTCATTCCTGGCAGGTGTGGGAATAGCTAAATGCTGCACCTACAATTTCCACTTACACAGAAAGCAGACAGCAAAGTTGTTTAAATAATAGAAATTCTATGCTAAATCAGAAAGGACATTTAGTGGGAGATCATAAGTTTACAGAAAAGATGGATGAAGGCTTTTAAAATTTTTGAATATAGATTTCTTTTTTCATACTAGGAAACAACAATGAGAATAAATGAAAGAACAGAAAAAGACCTAGCATTTTCAATGTTATTCCTCATTTGGGACAACAGCAGTAGTATCCATGCAGAAAAAAGCATGTTAGGAGAAGACTAAATTATACCTTCTACTCCCTAATATACTTGCCTGTCATTGGTATGGAGGCCTGATGTGTTATTTCTGTATCATTCTGAAATTGTGCAATTTCGAAACATTGTGCATTGCTTTCCCCCCTCAAAATGAACAACAGTCCATTGCCACATGTCACACTTTAAGTCCCAGAGGCTTCCTTTTGACCCCACCCCACTCCATGGTAACCAGCCACCTTGATATAAAAGAATGCTAAAATAACTGCTATAAATGCTGGGTATCATCCAGCTGCTTTGCTTCAAGGTAAATATGACATCTGAAAGGCACATTTCTTTCAAGTTTGTATTAGCTTTTCTTGTTTAGCATTTAGTGTGACTAACTTTTCATTTATGTGAGCCCTATCGACATTATAATGTAAATGAACAAGCACAGTGTTAATATTATCAAGTCAAAGATTTATTTTTATTTATTGTTTTGACAAGGTGGCTCCTTATGAATATAAAACAATCCCAGGAGCCCTGGCAATTTTTACTACAAAAATGAGGTATCAACTGCTCTGTGTAAAACCTGACTACTTATGTTTAGTGTCTGTCTTCATCCGAGAAATTCCATTTCATCAAAAAGGGCATCAAATAGTTGCAAGTTGCATTTAAGTAGACAGAATTAGAACAGCTGTAGCAAGAACCGCTTTGAGTCAAAGATGCTTTACAGGAAAGCGGTATGAAAGAATCTCTGGAGAAATGTAAATCTTTACCCGAGCACTCTCCATTGTTCAAACAGATCTATAATTGTTTTATGAACGAAAGATCGGTTAGCTGTTAGCTCTATCTTTTGTTCTCTTTCTTGCTTCAAAATAAAATGCATTAGATCATAGTAACTGATTTATATTCCATAGTAATGTACAATATATCCATTCCCCTCCACCTAAGTTCCTCCAGATACATTATAGAGCTCCTAAACATACCGATTAGCTATGGTAACAGAGGCAATGGGAGTTGTAGTCCAGTACAACTGGAAGGCACCAGGTCAGGAAAAGCCAAGGTAAAATAATAATAATTGTATTCTGTCAAGTTAATTCCAACTTGTGGTGACCTTTCCCAGGGTTTTCTAGGCATGAAGTATGCATTTCCTTCTTCTGGGGTGTTCTGGGATTGTATAGCATGTGCAAGACCACATAGGCTGGCTCTGGCACAATGGTGAATGAAACTCCTGACCCCTGACTCCAGCCACCAAGGCCAGCATACATTCTAATAAAAGTAGGATAACCTGTTGAATCCATAATTTAATAAATCACTGTAACATAAGAAGGTGGTATACGCTACTCACTAGAATGGATATAGATTTGTAAAGTTATACCAAATAACATTCTTAAGTTTGTTCTGAACACCTGGAATATTGCTAAGCAATCTTAATTCTCAATTTTTTCATGCTTTATTATATCAACAGCTTTATCCTAAGGAAAAACATCAATACATAATATGCATCTACTTGAGTCCACCTACGTTGTTAACAAAAGGGATCTAATGGTGTTAATAATATAAAATGGGAGATGGGAGATCATGTCTCAGCTGAATCAGATTTTGTGACTTCACAAGGAATCTTCAGACTTAGAAGCTATTACAACTAAGATCTGAAAATTTCCAGTTCACATTTGTACACTGGCCCTAATTTTTATGGCTTCTGTTAATAAAAATACTTAAAATCAGATTGATTTTTCCAGCCTAATGATTTGTGCTGATCTCCCTGTGTTGTGTACTAAAAGAAAACTATGGTTCCAATCATGAATCAAGCCAAAAGACTAAAAACTATCTGATTTACAGAGGAAAGTATGCTGGTAAAATGAAATTAGACTACAGATGTTTATGCAATACATTTTACCTCTACAGCTAGTTATTTTTATTTGTTTTCCTTCCTGCTGCCATGCCCATCACATTTGTGGTTCAGGTTCTATAGAACTATTGTTAAAGTGCTCTTGTGGAAGTGTATGCCTCTCTGTATTTTGTCTGCATGTAGACTACACAAATGTCATTACATTCAAATACATTATGTACAGATATAATTGCAGTCAACACATTTTGAAATAGACTAGCACATTTATTGCTAACACTATTTGAAAAGAATTGGTTGCCATTTGATTCTCCAAGCTACTGAATATCTACTCAACTTCACATGGACGTATGAATAGGTGGACGGTTGTACCTCATGCTCAGTTGCCCCAAGTGACTGGGACCATGCCACAGTTAGGTCAGCTGTGCACTGCTTCAATCACAGTTCAGTCATCTGCATGGGAAGAAGTAATACATGAATGGGACATCAGAAAAGAATTGTGGACAGGTATCACTTGCATTACTTCCTGGGCACAGGTGCACTGTTGGTGCAAACTGTCCGTCTACTGTAGTCTATTCTGACAAGACACATCGTTCAGTATCATGTTAACCAATGCCTATTGCCTAGCTATGTATTTGTGTCACGGGAAAACTGAGTGGCAGCTATTCCTGTTTGATTTGCGGTATGAAGTGGTTCTCAGAATGGGTCAGACCACATTGACCCAGGCTATGACCACTGAGCATCCAAGATATAGAATGCCATGGATGGTTGCTTTCGCTAGTCAGTTTTTTCCCCTCAGTGAAATAGCCTACATGTAAAACAAATCAACAAAATAAGTGAAATCAGCAATGAAATGAACACTTGAACTGTAAAGACATAAATTTAACAATTAATTTTAAATAATTTAGAATACAAAGAGAAAAGATTATTTAAGAAAACTATAAATATGAGGGAAAAGATTCTTATATTTCTAACAACACTGCAATGCTTGTTAAAACAAAGAGGGAACACAAAAACATACAGTAGTCATAAAACATTGCATCTGAAAACAAACAGCCTTAATGACATTTCTCTGCCAACTCAATATGCTTGTCCTACACTTTTGGCAGAGATCATAACTTTAACTAGTTCTCTTGAATGGAAAAGGCACAGAGATTAAAAATTGTTGAGGGTAGGGGAAGTTTATGGCTGATTACATATCTTCAGTTCAAAATCTCCAGGTTAAAACTAAGTCATGCCATTTACAAATAAAGGTTAGAGTCCTATGTGCACTTACACTGCGGAAGCCAATGGGACTAAATCCTGAGTAAATAAAATAAAGCTACACTATCCATTTCTCACTCACTAGGGAGAAAAAAAGGCCAAACAGACATATAAACTGGATTAACATAAGGACACTTTATTAACTATTTATACAAACTGTGCAGGGTGGCTTCCAGAAATATGTGCTGTGTTCTGGCCAGGGATCAGACTCCCTGGCATAAAAAGCAAAAAGCAAAGCATGTGGTTTATACACCACCCCATAGCACTTAAAGCACTCTTTGGGCAGTTTACAATGTAATTATGAAGGTACACATTGCCCCCTCTCCACGAGCTGGGTACTCAGTTTATCAACATCAGAAGGATGGAAGGCTGAGTGAACCTTGAGCCGGCGACCTGAATCTGCTGGGATCAAATGCAGGTCATGAGCAGAGTTTGGGCGGCAGTACTGCAGTTTAGCCACTGCGTCACGAGGCTCAAATTAATACCCTGAGTGAGCCACCTGTGTCTGAGTTCCAATCCATGCCCCATGGCTTGCTCTCTCTCTCTCTCTCTCTC